ACAACAAAGCAGTCTCCCAGAAGACCAAGCTGCGCACCTTCAACGCCATCATCAAGAGCATCAGCACCTATGCGATACCAACGTGGGGAACTACTGAAAGAAACCGATTAAAGGTCATCCAAGGCCCTTTCATGAAAATACTGAGGTCGGTCCTGGGTATTCCGTGGAACACCAGGAATACTCAGATTATCATGGAGTTCAACATCGTCCCTTCAATACTAGCAGCCCCTGTCCTTGCGTAAAAAATCCACGCCTCCATTATGGATCACCCAAACCCCACCATCGTCGCATTTTCAAACCTCCACGCTGGGCGCTTCGACTTTATATGACGTTCATGCGCTTTCGCACATAATCCTGAAAACCCCCAAAATACTTTAGGTCTTTAATCTCCCATGCTTCCATCGGATGCATCTCCATAATCTCGCCGAATAACCTCGACGTCAGTTAGTACGCTCTCTTCAGGAGCACCCATCTGTCCGCCGAATCCTTTACGGCCTCAACCCTATACAACACTTACACTAATCACTAGTACGCTTCCAATACACAATTTACAGTAAACTCAAACATCTACACACACATAAAATAACACCAAATTCAATATTCTCCAACTCTATTCCAAAGAAAGCCAAGATTCAAGCTTCGCCCAGATACTTAAGTGCTTCTCCTCTCATTCCTTTAAGAGTGAGCTGCCCTCCGAAATTCTTCGTTATTTTCCTTCTTCTCTCTTCTTTTGTGCCTTTTTGTCTTCCAGGGGAGTAATCATTAAATTTGTAACACGGTAAATGGCGTTGGCGGTGTGAGTAGTGCTTGAATGTTTCTCTAGTCAGACAAAACACTTAAGAAAGTCTCTCATACGTGTAAAAAAGAGACTATGAAATAAAGAAGCATGAATGTTAAAAAATTCCTCCACACACTCATAAGAAAAAACTTAAAACTTATGTTACTCCATCAAAATTTGTACACACAATTGTGTTTAATTTATATTTATTGGTTAAAAACGAGATGAAAAAATCCTTACATATCTGTTTATTTCACTTAGAAAAAAAGTAAAATAAACTGCTGTCATAATTGAATTATATCCCTTTATCATGGTATTCTCACGTTACTACGTAGTTTTACGTAGGTATGATGGTCTGAACTCTGTTTTAAAATCAATGTAAATCTGTTGGAGTTAATTACTTTAGGCTGTGAATATTGGACTTAACGAATTATGTAAACTCGTATATCTACAAAGTAAACTAAAGATGTCAGTTACTGAGAGACATAAGTAAGCTAAGTAATTATGTGTTTTTAGTAAATGTGTGGTTACACGAAGCGGTAAAAAAGATTCTTTCTTTTGGCGCAGCATGGTGAAAAGTAATTATTAAATTAACATGCATGTCACAAGCTTTATTTCCACATGTAAAACAAGTATTCAGCATTTTGCAATTTGGTTTTTATTAATTGATATGTTGAATTCTGATTTTGTTTTACTGTAGAAGAAACTTTGTAGTTGTTGAAAATAATAATAAAAAATCAACAAAAACATAAAACAGTGATAATAATGATATGTAATGTTACAAGAAGTATCGAAATCAACCTATTCAAGTTAACAATATACGGTTACTAACGGTCTTAATAAGCTGTATGAGACTGAATCTTGATAACTTTAATAGATGTACAAAATCAGCTGATGAAGGTTAGTTTGACTGATTGAAACAATTGACGTAGCATTAACTAGAGATTAGAAAAAAATTTATGAATAACCTTTAGACCACTACATTAAGTGGTTATTTGCATTATATTGATTGCAACTGTTCAAGAAACAGTTGTAATTAGTCCTTCGTAAGCTAAAAATAAAAAAAAAACTAGCATTCTATTTGAAAAATTGTAATATTACCTTTTTTAACCTGAATGTCCTTAAAGACACTTATAGCTAGACAGTTAGATGCTAGGCTTACGACAAAGTTGACAATAGGGCTTTTTTACAGCGAAAAATTAGTGACCAATATTGGTGCCTGTAAGTTTGCTCCTACAGAAAGATACGCAAAGTGCAGTGATAGCTTGATATCAGACTAGCACTATGTCGATTTATCATAAACTGGCTCGAGCAACACGTTTTTTAATTTGGAAATTAGCAACAAATTATGGTGCTCATTAGGAATAAAAAAACTCAAGTTAATAGTGCTCGCTTGATATACCTAGGTGGTGGTTCAAAATACAGCTGTTTGGTATATGATATAAGTTCTAGGATGAAGTTTGATTTTTATTTGGTGCATCACAGTATGGATTTTTCGACAAATTTATAAAGCCCGCAACGCTCTTTATTTTTGCTAAGAACTCGTAATGCTATCCGCCAACGCCTTTATTGTTTCTTTGTTTAATGTTGGATTTTTGACTCGTATTGTGACGTACATATGATAATGGTCAGAAAGCTATAAGTGTAATAATATGTAATCATATAAGCAATAAATATAAGGACATAATCAAATTCTCATTGACAGCGCCGTTATCTGGATTAATGGTGCATTACGTCACTAGGGAACAAAGAACAAACATGAGCGCCCGAAAGGCGCACTTGTTGTAGGTTAGTGTCTGAGTCGCGTATAACGTTTTTCTAACCGAGGACACACTTAGCGCCCAGTAAATTTCTTTAGGCCCTGGGGCAGAAAAGTACTTTTGTGCCCGTGGGCCCAAAGTGATTACAAGGGCGCAAAGTGTGACCCGAGGGCGCAAAGCGGCAGTTAAACTTTCATCCCATGGTAAGAAAAATAAGATTTTATACGAGCCTTTATTGCTCCTAATTATCTTAAACAAAATGAGGAAGTTGTAAAAAAATTTTTAGTATAAATCCAGTCGAGCCTACAAAAAATTTTTACATTTGAACATCCATTCATTTATCCTCGCTCTTAGAATATGCCCGTTCGCGTATTATGACCCACACACATAATTAGGAATTATACATATATTTTTAATAAAATAGTGGGGCACAGTTGTGTGCAGTCTTTAGTTCGCGTGAAGCGTAAACCTCCAAGTTTTCTATGATTAAATCTGTAAATAAGGGTGATCGAAGGAGCCTGTAGGAATACAAAAAATCTGTTTTTTAAATTTTATGTACAAAGAAAATAAAGCTTTAGAAAATAAAAAGGTAGGTTTTTCTGTTGTTTGTGAAATAAAATTTTTGAAAATTATTTTATTTAATAAAATTTTATTTCTAAACTATTTATGACGAATTGTTAATATGAGTGAATAGTTAAGTAACATCTAATGATAAAAAAATATTCATCAGGAATAATAAATTGTTTTATTTGTGAAAGAAAGTCAGCACTGTTATGAATGTGTGATGTAAGTGGTTTTAAGTAAAATGAAAAACTATTTCACAAAATAAAGTCCTAAGTTTCAGTGAGAGAATTCGTGAAAGAGATTATTCGTCTAAAAAATAGAGTGGATCTGTAGATTTTTTGGTTATCCACGGTACCTAAAGAGTTAAATGTCAGTCTGGATTAGTCGATTTTCATGATGTTTGTATTTTAATGAATCTAAATTATTTAATTGTAAGAGCATCCTGTATACGTCAGACTGCAATGTCCTTCGAGAATTTCTCTTTCAAATTTCATTACAGGAGTCATCACTGACAGCGTTTTTTTAATTTTTTGGTATTAATCGATTTATGTAGACATCCTCTCAAGTTACCTGTATCAGATTGAGTAAACACAATAATTTAATTTTCTTCAAAAAATACTTTTTCCGCCCTCGGCTGGTTTTGGAAGGCTGGTACTTCCTCGGGCGAAAAAGCAGTTTTCCGGAACTCGTTCGAAAAGTCTCCTTTATGAACCTCGTTACGTCCCTCGCCTTCGGCTCGGGCCGCAAACCTCTCGGTTCGCAAACAGAGACTTTTCAAACTCGTAGGAAAACTACCATTTTAGCTTTGAAGTTGTCACTACGATATTTTTCTTATAAATTTAGTTTAATTTTATTGTTATAATTATGTTTTATAGCTTAGGTGGAGTTTTTTCTTCGCTAAATTTTATTTTTCCAATCTTAAAATTTTTTTTTGATATTTTTTTGCGATTTATAAAAATGTCAAATACTTTTGTATGTCATTTTCCTCCTCACCCTTGACTAATCGCAGAATTTAAATTCCTGCATTATGAAAAATAGAAGATGCTTTAAATTAAAAATTTGTATGCCTTGATTGTTTGATCAGATATAGACTTGCGACAAAAAAATATGGTACAGCATCCTGCTCTGTTACATCACCTTGCATGCGCAATTGGTATTATATATATCGTAATTCTAAATTACATCTTGCCATACTAGTGTCTGTGGTTGAGATAGTTGGTACAATTATTTTCATGAGTCCCGTCAACGATCCTACATAAAAACTATTCGAATCCCTTCTTTTTCTCCTATTTTTCCCTTTGCTTTGCTGGGTATACTGGGCCTACGCAAAACGTTGGCCACACGTAGTAAGGAGGTTTCTAATAGAAAATATTAAATGCTGTTGCATGACATTATTTGCTTTACTCTTAGAATTTATCACTTATTTTAAATTTCTGTATTATTAATAATAAAGAGTGCTTTTAATTAAAATTTTTTAGTTTTAGTACACTGGGACTTCTGTACTATATGAAAAATATAACTGTTCATACGGTTTTTAAAATCCTTAATTACATTGCTTTAACGTAGTTATTCAAACTAGCAACCTTTAAAATCATAACATTAATCTACTAGTGAGCTATATTGCAGTAGTATGTACACCCAGAAAAACCATAATTTACAGAAGCCGTATAACAGAAATATTCCTCTAACTTATATTCTGACTACTGAGCTTAAACTGTCTACATATATTACAAAATGCATACATCTTAAAAACATCATGTTCTTACAAACAAAAAAATTAATTAAAAAGAAATATTATTCGGTTTGTAAGGTGGCATTTTTATAGTCCTACAAATTAACTTACACTTTATGTTTTTAGTGCACAAATGATGTTCCATAATTTATACAAAATTTTTCAGATGATCCAGAAAATACAGATGAGTCCAATCACGGTCATGCCGATCCTCTACAAGGAGTAAATATAAGCTCCTCTGGTCCTTTAAGAGAACAAGATCGATTTCTTCCAATTGCTAATGTAGCAAAAATAATGAAACGTGCAATTCCAGAAGCAGGAAAAATTGCTAAAGATGCTCGAGAATGTGTGCAAGAATGTGTATCTGAATTTATCTCATTTATTACATCCGAATCTAGTGATCGCTGTCATATGGAAAAGAGAAAAACTATAAATGGTGAAGATATTCTCTTTGCAATGACTACTCTTGGATTTGACAACTATGTTGAACCATTGAAAATTTATTTGCAAAAATATAGAGAGGCAACAAAAGGTGACAGCCCTTCAACTAATACTCACATAAATACTGTCAATGAAAATAGAAAAGAAGATAATGCTCACTCTACTACTATTTACGAGGATCAAATATTTACGATCGCAGCAACAGGAGATGCTTCCACATCAGAAGCACCTATCATATATAGTTATTCTACATCGGATCAAATGCAATTTCAATTACCATAAAATTAAATTATTGGTAAACAACTGTCAAAACTTCCCATGCTCTATTTGTTTGATTGTGTAGCTTTATAACCTTTCCATTAAACAATTATACAATTGTTTTATATAAGAGGAAGTAATTATCCATTTAAACAAGTGTTTAAATTTAAAAGTATTAATTCAAGAATTTTTACCCTATATTTCCTAGTTCTGAAAATTTTATCTTGTAACCTGTAATCCAATCTTAAAAATCTTATACGCTAAATAATTCTGTCTAGTAAGCATAAGAATTAACTCAACCTACCGTCAGAGCTTTCATACTCATTGTATTTAAGCTTTGTGACCCAGTGTCTCTAGACTTGAAGCTTGTATACTATATTCTAACACCCTAAAACTTATTAAGTTACATGCTCCTGCTTATTATCTTAACATCCAGTAATTTTAGCTGGAGGTCAAAAAGTCCAGACCAAAAAGTGAAAAACTATGACGTTCAAAAATTTTTTTATGTGAAACATCTATAGGCGCGCGTGAGCATGGTGAGTAAACGTGAGTAATGCGTGGTGACCGTAACGAAAAAGCATTACGAAAAATATATAGATGTACATTGCATACATGGTATGCTGTACAGGAGAGTGTGCGAATGATCTCCGGATCTCCGATTAAACTCGGCTCGGCTCTCTGTCTCTTTCTTCATGCGCTTACTGCCGCCCCTCTCTTATTTGTAAAGTGTAATACCGTATTATTATAGCTTTATAAAAAAGTATATAATAATAAAATATCATACATGTATTGTATTATACAGCTTATACATACACGTACGGATGTGTGCGTGCGCGCGCGCGCGCGTGTGTGTGTGTGTGTGTGTGAGTACTCCGAGAATCGAATCACATCTTTAGGATGGGTAGCCGGGGACCTTATCGATTGGGCTATGCAGCCTGCCAATCCAATCTTTGTTCTTATTATTTATGGGCACGAACCGAGAAACTTCTAAATTCAAAAATTAATTAATAATTGGACTTGTTTTTTATACTTTATACAATTTATCCCGCCGATTTCAAAAAAAAATAGTTATGATTCTTTTTTAATGGTCTAATAATGTCAAAATTGTGTAAAATTGTGTTTTAAAGTTCGTTTTGCTTACATCTTTTAACGGTTTTATATAAAAAAAAAAAAATAAATACCAACGAAAAATTTTCTAT